ACGCATATATATATATATATATATATATATATATATATATATATATATATATATATATATATATATATATATATATATATATATATATATATATATATATATATATATATATATACCGGGTGTCCCAAAAAAAAGTACTCCTGTTTGATTCGTAATAACTTCTAAACAAGTAAAGCTTTTAAAGAGAAATAACTTGCATTAAATAGAGGAAGGACTAACTTAGATTTTGATATATTACAGTTGTATTTTACTTAAAAAGTCACGGAGATATCAATGTTCAAAATCGGGAGCATATTTTGGGATGTGTCTAAAATTAGCGAAAATCGGCATATCAAATATTAATTCCAGCGTTTGTTTGCTTAATGACATATCCGGCTAACTTGTATTTCAGCGAATTGTCGTTAGGGTTTGTAAGGGATATGGCGTAGATTTAGACATCTTACATGTAAGTCTTAGCTCATTGTTTCCTGAAATATGAACTTCGAAATTATGCAAGTATTGACAAGTATTTAATAGGTCTTTACAAACTTAAAGGTATACGTAAAAGACCATGCATGGAAGGCAGGCGCTTAAATTTTTCTTAAATAGCATAATTTTTTTATGTTTTTAATGGGTTCAAACAGACTGATTTGATTATTTCTCGGTTAGAGCAGGATGAATATTATTCTTTATTGAAAGAAGTAATATTGCTTTTTGCAAATACGCATCACCGCGTATCAATTAATGCTACTATTCTGTTACGTTTTGTTCCAAAAATGTTGCATGTCTCTGGAGAGTTGCTTAATTGTTATGTCTTATGAAGTTGTATGGTTTGATTGTGTTTTATATAATTTTCAGTTTACTCTGAACTTGCCAAGATTAAAAAAAGGCAAAGGAGTTTGGGTGTTCTTAAATTAACAAGATTTCAGAACGTTGCAGAAGTTAGAAGAGCTTCACAATTCCATTGTGACAGCATGCCCTAATTGAGAACTGCGAACGATCGATGAGGATCCTTCACGATGCAGTGGTCTCATAAAATAAGGAAACGTATTCGTGCCAGAAACACACGCGAATTTCGGACGAATAAATCTTGCTTGTATTTTGTACATTTAATAATACTTTGTTTCATAATAAACAATTTGTCAAGTGTCATTTATTTACTGGTAATAGTGCATGTTTCAGTCGGGCAAATCTTGATTAATATTTGATACGCCGTTTTTTGCATGTTTCAGACACATCGAGAAATATGCTCCCGATTTTAAACATTAATATCTCCGTGAATTTTAAGTGAAATACAACTGTAATATATCAAAATCTAAGTTAATCCTTCCTCTATTTGATGCAAGTGATGCAAGCTTTAAAAGCTTTACTTGTTTAGAAGATATTACGAATCAAACAGGAGTACTTTTTTTTGGGACACCCGGTATATATATATATATATATATATATATATATATATATATATATATATATATATATATATATATATACGTTATAGATAAAAGAATGCTCAATACTACAAATAGGCCTATTTAGCAGAGCGATATATATATATATATATTGAAGTGTCAAGGAATTAAAGGTAATGTAAAGTCCGTAATGTAAACAAACGCTTTGATATATTGAAACGTCAAGAGATTAAAGGTAATGTAAAGTCCGTAATGTAAACAAACGCTTTGTTTACATTTTGAACTCAGTGCTACAGTTGTAAAATATGATTAGATATATATTATACTGAATTTTTAATACTTTTCCGGTTCGCTATGCTTGTAAATGAATGCAGACTAGAGATTCAATTCAAGAAAGTTCGGAAGGTGCGATATTCCAAAGGTTGCTCCCTCACTCATGGAATGTGTTGATGTGCAGAATATATGCGCAGAACGGACTTTACAGCATCTTTAAATAACAACTGTTAGATGGATGTACAACGAAGCAGGAATTAAGTTTTCATTCAAAGATATAAATAAGCTATAATCTGGAAAATAAACTTAATTGGTTTTGTTTTATAGTCACTAATATTAAAAAATTAAGCAAGGAATTTTAATTTGACCATCAGCACCCACAGACTATATAGACTATAGACTATATAGAATGTTCAATTATTAAGAGCGTAGGAATCCTAAATTGCATCGTTTAACTTGGCTGTCTATACGTCTTTGTTTGTGATTTAATTTTCCATGTCGAAAACACCAATTTATTAAGATTATTTAACATCCGGTTATATTATTCTAAACAGACCAAATTTTATTGTGTTTTTTGTAAATTTGCCCTGTGACAAAGCGAAAGTGCAGAGCTGTGACAAAAAGTAAAATGTGCACCGCATAACATTTTTTTGTGATAAATTCTTAATTTAGCACAACCCACTAGAACATTCGGAATTAGTTTACATAATCACCTAAATGACCCCAAACTTTAGCAACCATATTCGACTTGAAAGTCAGGGAAACTGATTTAGCACCACCTATATGCCGTAAAGAGAATTCGGCGAGAGGTGTTCGGTTACAAAGGCGCCTTGCGTTGGAATAATCTTCCCCATGGGGCAAAAATTGCTGAATGCTTAAGCTCTTTCAAATCGATATTCAAACAAAGAATGAGTTGAAAATTGCTCGTGTGTGATTGTGCATTATAAATCACCGTATTTTCTTGTTAATCTCATTTTATCTTTCTTCATATTTCTTTATTTTTTGTAAATGCTCATGCAATTCTATTTTTTAACGCCCTTATATTCATGAAAATCAGCCTCCTAACGGTTGTTGAGGCTAGCCAGGTTAAATAAAGTTTGTATGTATTGGTGTATGTATGCGGGGTGTACAGACGTTCCGTATTTTGACATTGATTTAAAGAATAACGCTATGGTTTTTATGAACTGATGACTTGTTTAGCGATAAGATCCGTTAGGAAAACTAGAATTAGCTGGAGAAATGTTGTTAAACGGTTTACGATCTTTAATTAATGATTTCGCTGTTCTCCTATAGGCCAAAGTGTAATACTGTATATCACTGGAGCGTATATCGGCTGCTTGTTTTTGAAAGACTGGATCAGTAATATTTCAAATCCGACTAAGAGGACTGGACTAGATTTCAAGTCCGCGCAATTTGACCATGTTCGAGGCGAAGCCGAGGACTGGATCAAAATGCGAGGATTTGAAATCTATAGTCCAGTCCGAATTGGAGGATTTGAAATGACATCTCATACGAATAAATCACTACCTAAAGTAAGGTGAATTTATTTTCATCCAGTCCAAGGACCTAGGACTGAATCAATGAATGTATTTCACTAGGTATCCAGTATTATCATGTGAGCAAAATAAAGCAATATGATGCATGGTTGGCGGCTAATGGGTGATTCATGCAGCTATAGACAGAATTTTCACCTATGCAAGAAGAACAAAATCCATCACCACAGCTAGGAAGGGCATGTTAAAATTAGTAACATTGCAAAGTTTGGCCGCGAAATGTTGTAAAATGCGGAAAATATAGCCCTACTACAAAATGTGCAAATTTTGTATTAATTTGTATCACGGCGCACGGGATTCAGCCCAATTGTAGTGTATTTTCCCGGCCGTAATACAACTTAATACAAAATTTGCAAATTTCACATTGGCTATATTTTTTCGAGGCCAAACAATTTCACTAGACACTAATTTTAACATGCTCTTTCTAGCTGTGGTGATGGATTTTGTTCTTCTTGCTTGGATCAACTTTAGTCTATAGTATAGCAGGAATCATCTATCATGAATTATTAATGAGTTTGACATATAATATTGTATTCATGATGCATTATATACGTGGAAAGAAGAGTGTAATCCGGCTCAATATACTGACTTCTTGCCACAAAGATAAAGCGATGAAATTCCTGAGTCTGTGCAGTAGCCATCTCCCGAGGATTATAAGGTGAAAGAGGCAACTATCAGTGGTCATGCATGCATGTGCAACAATGACAATAATTTGTTTCGGTTAAGCCTGGCGCACACGATGCGATTTTAGTCGGCCGATAAAAAT